TTCCAACCAAATGATTCTATGATTCTCTGATAGTTATCGGAAGCTGGCCTTGAAGATCCATCCCTTAAAATGCAAGGAGCCCTGGGCACCAGAGAGGTTCAGGCAGCTGGCGGAGGCCTACGATGTGCTCAGCGACCGTAAGTGAGGGGATGATTCTCTAGGGGCTGGACGGAGGGTGAAGCATCTCTGTTCTGGCCAGAGGTGTACTTAGGTTTGAACCTGCGGTCACTGGCGCAGCCAGGGAGGTGACAGCAGCTCTGTGGCCCACAGCCAGGCTGGTTACTGAATCCATCCCAGTTTGCTGCTCTCAAGGTGGCAGTTGCTTTTTCAGTCTCTGCCCAAGGAAAGCCTGGATCTCAGGCTCTCCCCCAGCATGGCAGAGCATGGCCATTCCCATGTCCTCCTTGTTCCCTAAGCCATGAAGAAAGGCATCTACGACAAATTTGGAGAAGAAGGTCTCAAAGGTGGCATACCCTCTGAGTTCAGTGATGGCAACCCCTGGACTGAAGGCTACGTGTTTCACAACAACCCTGACAAAGTCTTCAAGGAGTTCTTTGGTGGAGACAACCCATTTGCAGGTAGGTAGAGGGGATCTTTGGGGTGACCAAGGTCGCATCTGTGGCTGCTGTGAAGCTATGTCCACAGCCAGCTCTGAGCTTTAAACTTGTACGGGGATGTTTCCCTGCCCAGTTACTCTCAGATCCCACTGGTGCTGCTGGTCCCCAATGCTTGGAGGTTACATCCTGACTGCCCCCAGTCTTGGGTGGGAGTGCTCAGGCTGTTAGCTCTCCCTGCTACTGCTAGGACCCTTTTCTTGGAGGATTTCCATCAGAAAGAGGGAGCAGGTTGGTAAGACTGGTGTAAACATGTGAGCAAGATAAAAACCCTCCTGGAGACAAAACTGCTTCACTTGAGGAGGAAGGTGGTCCCAGGCAGAAGCAGATAGGAGGTTTCCAGGTGACAAATTTGGGGTGCTCAGCTTCCATTATAAGGATATCCCAGGGACACCCTTCCCCCACCTCTGATATGAGTGAGGTGACCCTCTCTTGCTCGCTTCTGCAGAGTTCTTTGCCGAGGATGGCTCAGAGTTAACCCTGCCCTTTGGAGGGCTGCAAGGACGAGGAGCAATGAAGCAAGACCCCCCGATAGTGCGAGATCTCTACCTCTCCCTTGAAGACCTCTTCTATGGCTGCACCAAGAAGATTAAGATCTCCCGTAGGGTAGGAGCAGTGGGGAGCAAGTGGGGATGCGCTCGGCAGGGTGGGGAATTTTGGGCTGTACTCTCAGGGTAGGATGTTTCGGCAGAAATTCAGCGCAAGAAGTGATGGGAAAGTGATGGTGCTCATCTGTACGCACAGCTGCCTTGCTGTGGAGTACGAGCTGTCTTCACTCTCCTCCCTGCTGGCTTGCACGTGACTGGTTGAGCAGAGCTGTCATTAGCCCCTCTCTTTGGGCACCTCGGTGTCACACATCACCTCCCTGTGATGTCCCTTGGGGGTATGACACCCCTGCAGAGAAGGACTTGGGGGTTCAGGTGGACAAAACGTTGAATGTGAGCTGGAAACATGCGCTTGCAGCCCGGAAAGCCAACTCTATCCTGGGCTGCATCTAAAACAGCGTGGTCAGCAGGTGAAGGGAGGGGATTATATCCCTCTGGTCCTCTCTGGTGAAACCCCACCTGCAGTCTTGCATCCAGCTCTGAGGCCCCCAACAAAAGAAGGACATGGAGCTGTTGGAGCAGGTCCAGAGGAGGCCACAGAAATGATCAGGGGCTGAAGCACCTCTGCTATGGAGACAGGCTGAGAGAATTGGGGTTGTTCAGTCTGGAGAAGAGAAGGCTTTGGGGAGACTTTAGAGTAGCTTTCCAGGACCTGATGGGGCTACAGGAAAGCTGAGGAGGGACTTTTTACAAGGGCATGGAGCGATAGGACAAGGGGGAATGTTTTTAAACTGGAAGAGGGTAGATTTAGACTGGATATTAGGAAGAAATTCTTTACTGTGAGGGTGGTGAGACACTGGCACAGGTTGCCCAGGGAAGCTGTAGATGCCCCCTCCCTGGCAGTGTTCAAGGCCAGGTTGGATGGGGCTTTGAGCAGCCTGGGCTGGTGGGAGGTGTCCCTGCCCATGGCAGGGGTTGGACTGGATGAGCTCTGAGGTCCCTTCCAACCCAAACCACTCTGTGATTCCATGACAGACTGAGCAGCTGCCCAGAGGTGACTGCACCATCTGCAGGGCTGTGTCTGGCTCTGCAGGGTCATGATCCAGCCCAGGATGGAAGCAGCACCTGGTGCTGGCTGCTCTGATGACAGAGCAGAGCGCCCACATCTCAGACAGGACCCAGCTCTCCTGACACCCTCATTTACCACCCAGGTGATGAATGAAGATGGTCGAACGAGCACCATCAAAGATAAGATCCTAACGATCGACGTGCAGCCAGGGTGGAAGCAGGGCACCAGAATCACCTTTGAGAAGGAAGGAGACCAGGTAATGACCAGAGCATGAAGATCTGGGCCTGGTTTTCTTGGGACCGACCATGCGCTCTTTGCAGGTTTCCCATTTCTGCAGGCTGTGGGTAGTTGGTGCCATGGTTAATGGGGTGATTCAGTGTTGCTATGCTCAGAAACATTTGAAGGAGCCCTTCTTGCCTGAGATTTCCTTAGGATAAATACAAAAATTATTGAAAGGGGTGGTTTTCTGTCTGGCATCGTGTTTGTGAAACCCAGTCTGCCTTCAGTAAGCTGAGGAGGAGTCTTTTATCAAAGACTGTTTTTTTCTTTCTTAAAGGAAGAAAATACCTTTCCCTTCTCCGGCTGAAAGCAGCAACAAAAGGGCAGGCATTTGTGTCACCTTTCCCTGTATAAAATCCTTTATTTTACACTAAACCATTTCCAGGTGCATTTTTTTTTTCTCTTCAATTTTAGGGTCCCAATGTTATTCCAGCTGACATCACCTTTGTTGTCCAAGAGAAACTCCACCCTAGGTTTAAAAGAGTCAATGATGACCTGACTTATGTCACCACCATCCCCCTGGGAAAGGTAAAGAGCCAAGCAAGGAGCCAGCCCCAGCTCACGTTAACCCTCTGAGCTGCAACCGCAGCTCTGGGTCCCGCTCTGTGCTTTGCAGGCGCTGATCGGCTGCTCGGTGAACGTGAAAATGCTGGACGGGAGGCTGCTGAACATCCCCATCAACGACATCGTGGAGTGAGTGTCATGGCTGGTGGGCTCAGGTGGTCAGATGGGGCCTTTCTGCAGAACCTGGTGGCCAAGGAGGTGAACAGGCACTTGAGAGGAACCTGAGCGTTGGTCTGTTCCCCATCGGCACTTCGTAGGATCACAGAATGGTTTGGGGCTGCAGGAGGATGCCCACCATGGGCTACTGCTCTGGTCTGGGGCCAGGATAGAGCTTGGAGTGGGTGGGTGGAAGACTGGAGTGAAAGCAGGGCTGGGTGGTACAGCCTGCAGGGCGAGGAACCTGGGGACATGAGGCTGGAAGAAGAGGGCAGGCTGCTGGTTGAAGCTAGAGAAGGAAACTCGCCCTAAGAAACCTGCTCAGGTTCCTGCACGTGGATGCGGTGGGGTTCGGTGCCATGGGGGATCATCTCAGGGTTCTTCTCAGCCCCTCCCTTTGCTTTGCAGCCCCAGTTACCGTAAAGTGGTGCCAGGGGAGGGGATGCCGCTGCTCCAGGACCCCCGGCGCAAGGGTGACCTCCTCATCTACTTCAACATCTGCTTTCCCAAGAAGCTCGTGCCTGAGCAGAAAGCACTTTTAAGAAGCGCTCTCCTGTCCTAGGGGACAGTGACCTTCCCGCTCTTCTCCCACCCATAAAGCTCTGGGCCCAGCACTGTGACCAGGTAGAGATTGTTTCCAAAACCACAGCACCCTTGAGGCTGTTTCCCCTGGGACTTGGATCCATCGTGCTTTCTGGACTCTTCTCCCTCACTGCCACCCCGCAGCAGTGGCATCATGGCGACGGGGAGGGTGATGGAGGATTTTGCGGGGATTGGACTCAGTACAGCTCACTACAGCTTTCTTCTGGGTGTGGGGCTGGCAGATGTCATCCCTTTTGGTGTTGGTGAGCAAGGTGCCACCAGGGATGTGGCGATGGCAGCACTGGGCTCAGGAGGGAATCTCCTGCCAGTGGCCATCAGGTCCTGTTTCAGCTGCTCGTAGGGTGATGAACATCATGATGATACGGCAGCATGGCCCTGGGAGCGAGGGTGTGAACCTGCTAGAGAGGTTGGGGTCATCACATCCCATCCCACAGTGATGGTGCCTCCACCCTAGAAGCAGCTGTGTTGTGGAAGAGGATGGAGATGGTGGTGAAACCCTACTCATCCCTTCTAGAGCACTTTGGGCCCCTTGTTTCTGAGCAGGGTGAGGGCACAGCGCCCAACACCTCCGGTACTGCCCCAGAGCAGCATTCCTGTACCTCATCTTCATCACATTAATGGGGGAGGCAACAAGTGTGGTGCAGAAACTGGCCCCAAAGGCAGATGCAAAGTGGCAGGGGTGCTGTCTGCCCAGCAAGAGCCATGGTGGGGTTTGTGAGCCTGGATTATGGTAGGGACACAACCCAGGGGCTCCTTCCCCACATGAGGTGGATGCTTGGGATGGAAGTTGGCTGCAGCCCCAGCCATGGCTCTGCAGTAGAGCCCGGGGCCACAGCGCTTGTGAGGTGGGACTTGAGAAGCATCTTCTTGAGGAGATTGTAGGCCACCAGCTTGGCACTGTTCACAGCACCACAGGTGAAGCTGGGAGATGTTCCTGAGGGAACCAGAGCTGTCAGAGCTGCAGTGCTGGAGCACCCTGTGGGGGTCCCTGGGGGCTGCACCCACCTCCCTGCAGCCTGCAGGCACCCTCCTCCTTGGCGATGATCCTGGAGGCATCTACGGTGCCCCGGTGGTGCTGGTCGCCCTCTCTGCCCTGCAGGTGGCTGTCCCAGTCATGATGAACTTCATGGTGGCCGCTGGGGGCATCTCAGGGACCTTGAACCCAACCATGGTGCAGAGAGGAGCAAGAAGGGGTCCCCCCAAAGAGGTGTGAGGGTGGAGGTTGAGGGCCCCAGCTGCAGGGATTGGGGATGGTTGTGGCCAGGGACCCCCACACCTACCTCACTGCATGATGGGGCTTGGGGAAGGGTGGGGAACCCCTGCCTGCACCCTACTTTTACCGCACTCAAGGCAGCTGGGAAGAGGATGGAGGGGTCCTGGGGCAACCAGAGGAGGGGGCCTTACAGGGGGATTTAGATTCCCTAGGAGAACTGGAGTGGGAGGATCCAGGTTTGAGGCCCGGTGCTTACAGGTTGGACACAGGGTCCCCCATTCATGGGGTGGGAAGGGGGGGACTGGGCACAGCCATCACCATGGCATCAAGGCTGCACATCCCATCATGGATGGCTGAGCCTTCCTTGGGGCTGTGAGGGTGCACCCACTAGTGGAACATGCAGCTGTGAACCCACACACCTGACTTCCATGTTGATTTATTTCCCTGATCACAGAAATCACCTGCACTAAAGTCAATCCCTGATGGTGTGCGACACCTTGGGAGCCAAATGCCTCTTTTGCTTTTGGACAAGGCCGTTTCCTTTGGGCTGGAGGCCAGTGGCCTTCCAGGGCTGAGAGAATGACTTTAAACCACCCCCCAAAAAACCAAGGGAGGTCCAAGCGATCAGACCCCATAGGGGCGATTTATTGGAAGCATCAGTTAAGGAATGACAGCAACCGCCGCATCCCCCGGCCCTCGCCTCGCTCCTCCCTGTCCACACCCCTCACGTTGTTCCCACTGCTGCTGGGAAGCGCTGCTCGTCCTGGCTGGAAAACCCATCAACAGTTTTCCTTCCTCCCTAAACTCCTCTCTGGAATGCTCCGTTCTCCCACGTTTCTCCCCAAACATCATCGTTTCTTCTTCCATCTTGCTGGTTCCTTTCAGGGGATCCCCATCATGTTGGGGGTGTTTGGCATTGCTGCTCCCTTGCCACTTTGGTAATTAATATAATTTACTCCTGTGTCTCGCCAACGCTGACGAGAGGGGCCGGGGTGAGCGGGGTCAGGACTGGGCCAGTGTGGCGGCGCGCTGCAGCTGCTCGTAGGCGATGAACATCACCACGTTCCAGGAGCCGAGCCGCAGGAAAGAGGGGACGAACCTGCACCGGGAAAAGCAGTGCTGGAGGAGACAGCACAGGATGTCCCTGCGGCCCCCAAAGCCCTGTCTGGTGCCCCAGTGTGAAGCGGAGCCGTGTTGTACCGAATTTGTGGGTGCTCAGCAGGGCATCCTCGAACTCACCCCTTGTAGAAGCCGGTGAGGCCGTCCTGCATGAGCAGGGCGAGGAGGCAGCTGAGCACATTTCGGTACTGCCCGGGGCTGGAGTTCATGTACCGCGTCTTCACCACATCCACCGGCGATGCCACCACCGTGGCGCAGAAACCGGCCCCGAAGGCGGCCACAAAGTGGCAGGGGAGGTTGTCTGGGGGGCAGAGCCAGGGCGGTTTAGGGTTGCAGTGATGGGGATGGCACCTGGCTGCGTCCCCTCCCCACCACCCTCACCCGTCATCAGCTGCGACCGCAGCAGCGCGTCCTTGATGAGGTCGTAGGTGACGAGCTCCCCGCAGTTGACGATGGCGTTGCGGGCGATGTTGGGCAGTGTCCCTGTGCAGCAGGAGGGTGACATCAGGGGTGGTGATCACTTCCCCTCCTGGAGCATCCTGGATGGGTGCCTCAGCTCTGGTCTCCCTGTCCCCATCTCTGTCCCCATCCCAGTCCCCATCTGCATCCACAATCCCATTCCCATTCCAACCCCCTTCCTCATCCCCATTCCCATCTCCGTTCTCATCCTTGTTCCCATCCCCAACCCCATCCCCTTCCTCCTCCCCATCTGCATCTGCCATCCCATTCCAATCCCCTTCCTCATCCCCATCTCCGTCCTCATCCCCTTCCCCATCCCAGTATCCCCATCCCAGTCCCCATCTGCATCCACAATCCCATTCCCATTCCAACCCCCTTCCTCATCCCCATTCCCATCTCCGTTCTCATCCTTGTTCCCATCCCCAACCCCATCCCCTTCCTCCTCCCCATCTGCATCTGCCATCCCATTCCAATCCCCTTCCTCATCCCCATCTCCGTCCTCATCCCCTTCCCCATCCCAGTACCCCATCCCATCCCCACCACTCCCTGTCCCAGTCTCCATCCCTATCCTCATCCTTATCCCATCCCTGTCCCCACCCCAGTCCCCATCCCCCCTACCTCTCCACAGCCCGCAGACACCCTCCTCCCTGGCG